CTCTTTCTTTCTCGTTCTCTTTCTTTGACACTAATTCAAGTTCTCGACCCCATTTGTCCAGACGTACCTGCTGTACTTCAAGCACTTCCCCAAGTTCCTCACTGGGGACGTACAGGGGATGGCTCACGCTGTGGATCTGCTCTACTTGTTTGACGCCGGAAACCTCGATGTTCTCAAAATGGTTCCTTATCCGGTATGTCAGCAGCATAGTGTTGGTTCCGCCAGTATCATGCTAGATTACGATTCGGATGATCTTAGTTCGAATTCCTCAAAAGGAGTCCTTGAACTGGAGTTGTTTCGACATTTGTATACGAATGTCAACCATCGGGGAATGCCTTATTCGTTGTGTCAGGAACGCACCGTTAGCTCTGCCAGTATCATGCTAGCTTACGATTCAGATGATGTTGGTTCGAATCCCTTTTATTTGGATGCGTTTTCTCGCTTTACCGTCATGATGTCTGGTTCCCATCATACCCTCGATAGACGCGTAGTCATAGTCTTTTCTTTTTAGTTGTAAAATAGGTTCAAAATGATTTTCTTAAACTCTAAATACATTGTGATATTTTTATACGAACAGATTTTCGTTTGTTATCAATTAATCTTTTAAGCAATACTGAATCATCGTTTGGAAAGCAGAGAAGGAGGGGGAGTCATCATCATCATCGTCATCGTCTTCTCATTCGCCGCATTCACCACTTTCAAATTATCCTTTTTTTTCCAGTACAATGCCAATAGCTGTGGACCGGTAGACAAAGCGTTAAAATACAAGTACATGCACATGCTCTCAGCGTTCGTCAAGACTGGGTGAGTGCAGTTATTTAAGAAGAAAATCCTGTTAGAACGAAAGCATTTAAAACCCATTATTTTTTCCCTTTTTCAATGCATTGCAAATTCCCCTTAAAGAGGAAGTCTGCTTGAATCGAAGAAAGTCTCAATCCTGTTAATTTCTTGTCATTAGGGTTTTACTGTGTCTTATAGTATTTATGAGGCAGCATGGTGGAATCAGGCTCTCGTCAATTTTTGGGCATGTAGAGTTATTGGTATCATCTTAAAGCTTGTTCACTTGTGTTTATTAGGATGAAAAATTATCCATTTATCTTGAATACAAGTCAAGATATTTGCGAATGAAGGAGCTGGGGGTCACCTGTTTTCAGAGGAAAAATTAGTGAGAAAATGGCCGCCAAAGATTGGTTATTTCCTTAGCTTAAGAGTCCGTGGTAACTGAAAATTTACATTTTTTTGTGCCTTTAATCAACGTTTTTAAGAAAAATCCATACGGAAATGAGTTCTTTAATGGGCATGAACGGTGTAGAGCCAAAAAACAGAAAATTGATAAAAATTCACAAACCTGCGGAAAAATGCACGTTTCTTCACTTTGATTATTTTGACGGGAGCCTGATTCCACCACGCTGCCTCACATTAAAATTTATTACTGACGGCCAATGCATGCTGTGCCATTTTTTAAAGGGAATTGTCTTTGCATTATCTAATACATGTGCCACTTATCTATGCACGTTCCTCAGTAATTCATCCTCAATTGCAAATGATTGTAAATGATTTACGCCCCCATTAACACAATTTATAACGTTTAAGTTTACGAGTCAAGCTGCTTCAAGTCCACTGCCAGGACTTGATAGCCTTGGGCTGAGTTGGATTTCAGTATCCTAGGTGAAAGAGGGAGATACTTCGTGGAATAAACTTTCCAACACGGTAATCGAATCACGTCTTTTGAATGGAATAGCAAAGTGACTATCCGTTACCTCACAGACGCCGATGGGCATTGGGTCCACGGTAAAAGCAAGATAGAGAAAAAGAATCAGGATGGGTTAAAAGAAATGGAAAGACTACCTAATTAGCGCTTAACTCCGACCAGCTGCAATGTAACGTAACTTCTTATAAAACAGACTTTTATTCATTTCCCCCCCTTCAAATTTCTCCCTTTCTTTCCACTTCAGAAACCCCAACAAAGGACTGGGTGGCGACCTCATCTGCGACTGGCCACCTTTTGACCCCCAGAGACGTAGCTACCTTCAGTTTTCGGAATTCTCAGAAGTAAAGAACGACGTCAACGGGGACAGAGTTCGATTGTGGCGAGAGAGAATTCCAATGTGGATCAAACAGTATCCATAAACAGAGAATTCCAAACGTGTCACTGAATTGATGAAGGAATTGTTTGTCTGGGCACTTGATTTTTATTTTATCTGTAAGCATCAAAAAAGTAGAGAAGAGAAGAGAAGAGAAGAGAAGAGAAGAGAAGAGGAGAGGAGAGGAGAGGAGAGAAGAGAAGGGAAGAGAAGGGAAGAGAAGAGGATAGGAGAGAAGAGAAGAGAAGAGAAGAGAAGAGGAGAGGAGAGAAGAGGAGAGGAGAGGAGAGGAGAGAAGAGAAGGGAAGAGAAGGGAAGAGAAGAGGAGAGGAGAGAAGAGAAGAGGCGAGGCGAGGAGAGGAGAGGAGAGAGAGGAGAGGAGAGGAGAGAAGAGAAGAGAAGGGAAGAGAAGGGAAGAGAAGAGGAAAGGAGAGGAGAGGAGAGAGAGGAGAGAGAGGAGAGGAGAAAAGAGAAGAGAAGACAAGAGAAGTCTTTATTGTTCAGATACCGGGACGTTTGTATGATGTCTCACCAAACACCCACACTCACACACACACACACAAACACACGCACATGTATACACACAAACACACACATAAACACAGACAAACACACAAACACAGAATTACACACATTCGCATGCTATAAGGCATCGAATCGAATAAAAGGTGTGTGTGTGTGGGGGGGGGGTGGGGGGGGTGGACAAAGTGGTCAAAAATCAGTTGGGGGCGGGGGGGGGGGGGGGTTCTTGAAAAAAAGGGGGGCGGGTGATGGTGGCTCATTCAACCTCACACCCCTGTACTAGTAGTAACAAATCTGTTTTACTTCTCCTTCAGAGAAAACCCCCCCCAAAAGATCATGAAATTTTACTGATTTTAGTAAGTTGCTGAGACAACTTTTCCCATTTAGGAAAAACCAGTTTCGTAAAATAAAATATAAACCAAAGTACAAAAGTAAAAAAATAAGCAGAAAATTGAGGTAGCCAACTCGGTACCGGTACTAGTGCTGAGGGTAATTTGCCATTTACACACACAAAAAAAGAAGTTTCATTCAGATTTCTAGGCTAGATTTTAGATTTATAATGTCTCACATGTCGGTCGTGGCAAGCTGGAAAATAATAAACGGGGGGTATGGAATAAGGAGCGGAGGGTGAGGGGGGTTGCGCAAAAAAAAACCCTGAAGATTAATAAGCGGGTTTTTTTTTTTGGGGGGGAGGATGGGGAGGAGACGCTTATTCGATCCCTTAGAGTACACACGTACAATCTCACAATTCTTCTCTTATACATACCTATAATATGCTCATAATATAACATGCTTACACTCAAATTTACGAAAGAGCCCCAGATTCAAACACATGTTATAAATGAGCAATTGTTGTTAACCATACCTCGTTGCCAATATTCAAGCTAGTTACATAATTAGTATTATGATGGTACGTTTTTGAAACTTTGCACAGGTTTTGGTTTGTAGTTATAGTGCATATTATTAGAAAGTAAGACAATGGCTTCAAACAGGTAATATACTTACTTACTTACTTACTATAGCATGTTCCCGTCGTTTTATGCAAGAAAAATGCTGAAATTATGCAAACTGAGCCCAAAAATGTGAAATTATGCGATTCGGTTAATTTTAACAAAGAATGTTGAAGGAAAATAATCAGAAATTCTGCAAAAACCGATCAGTAGTATACACAATGGGTTACGTTCCTATCGACGAAATGTTTTATTTAGGAAGCGGGCCACAAAAAAGCTTGCATGTCAGTGGTCCCCTCTGGTTGGGTGGGATACAACATCCCAGCAGACAAAGATACTCTGTTGACTACTTTTTGTTTTGTTTTGTTTTTGTAAAGTGTTTTAT